AAAGTGATATGATATCCCAATAGATCAGAATGATAAAGTTTATTGGAAGGATCATTTTGTTATTGAAAGTGTTAAAGTGTTTTAAAATTGTTATTAATTTTGAAAATTTTCCATAAAATTGGAAGGAAATGAATAAAAGTTATGCTACAATTTTGCTCTTCCCAAATATAATTAATTCGTGGGAATCAGAATCGATTACTACACCAGTATCAATTTATCATGATAAAAGATGAATTAATCAATGAGTTTTTTTTTTTTTTTGATAATATCAATTGTACAAGGTTTTTCACAAAGAAACATTTCGATTGTTATAACAATAAGTTCATCAAAAGTAGCCACTAAGGAATACAGTAAATGTCATCGGGTGATATGTTATGTTAAATTTAAGAAATCCCGGGATATTACCTATCGATTAGTATCTGCAAGTAAAATAGTATGAGTAATATGTTATTTTAAGTTTAAGAAATCCCGGGATATTACTTATCAATTAGTATCTGTAAGTAAAATAGTATGAGCAATATGTGAATTGGAAAAATAATAAAAGTTTCATAGATTTTTGCAAGAAATTTCAACATTATCATATGTTATCATCAATTTGTGTATGAGCATCATGCTTTGATAACAGATTATAGGAAAGCTCTGAACTACCAATGATTTGTTCAATATCAATATCAGAATAGAAATTGATAGCTGATGTAAGGAATGAACCCGGAATAGCTGGTTCGTAATAATCATATTCCAAATCATGATCAGTATTGAATGACAATGATGAATGCTCATCGTTACGTGGTGTCATTTGTGGTGAATTAGTTGCTTGAGACCATAATATTCCTGAAAGCATTGATGCTAATGATGCTAATTACAAAAAATTGATGAAACAATCCTAAAAAGCCTTTATAGAATGAGATATGATTTCCCCGCGATTTTCCAATAATTATTGATTTCTTGGAAAAATTCAAATTTTATTACTTTTAGCATTAAATGTTCCATTAAATTTGAAATTTTCATGTGATAATGTTTCGAAAATTTCAATTTTTTACAAATTTTTACAACCTTTATCACGAGGAATACGTGGAGTTGATGAAGCTGAAAGTTGTATACCAATAGAACGTTTCGTAACAACGGTTCTGTTTGATTTAATTTCCGTTGTATCTGTTTGACCCGATTGTATCATGTTTGGATTAAGCCTAAAATTAATTTCAGTATATTTGAAATTTTAATTTTGAATTCACTGATGAGATGCATTTAATTACAAAAATATCACTATAAGTTAATAAATGCTAATCAATTATTTAACTGATAAAAATTGTAGAAATTCCTGAATAACCACGATACCTTGGCTCATCTAACGAATTTTCAATTCGTATTTGTCGATTTCGTTTCCATTTTGCATTCCGGATAACTAATATGGTTACATAGGAGCATAGAAGTGGTGGAAGAGATATAATTAAAATAATGAATAAACTTGATAGGAGGAATGACAAATTACGATGACAAAACATGCAAACATGTGACAATCTCAATGTTGTAACTGTTGATAATGTCTCATCGCTTGCTGTAATAAAATAAACATATGCATAAATTTAGTAAATTGATCTTAAAAATAATTTCGAAAGTAGACGTGAATGATTTGCAATTGCAGAATTAATTAATTATCATTTAATGATAAAGTGTTAAATGTCTTTTGTGAGAGATGTAAAATTCACGTTTAGTATTGAAAGTAAAATGTTAGATAAGCCGAGTGATATATCTGATATAATCTACTAATGAAAGTGAAAATTCAAAATCGTAAACAGGTTGATATTTGATAGCCTTAATATCAATGATTTATGCAACATAATTAATTTACTAAGAAGAGTTGATCAATAAAATTTTAAATTTATAAAAATATTTGGATTAAATTTTAAGATTTGATAAATTTTTTTTTATTTCTTCCAAAATTATCTTTCACCATGTTACAGAATTAAAAAAAAAAAATTATTGCATTGATTAACTAACCGTTCTTCCATTCGAAACTTATTTCTATTCCATAATTAATGTTTGATGAATTATTCAATTTTAGAAGTGAAATAACGAAATAATCATTGGAAATGAATTGTAAAGTGTTTTTAGGAATAGGATTGTTTATTCCGGAATCATAAACTAGTTCCTGAAATTAACAGGAATTTTCTACAAAAAAAAAAAAAAAGGAAAAGAATTTTATAATTTTCTATTAAGCTAATTTATATATTTTTTAAATGGTTTAAGAAATTTGCATATAAATGAACCTCTTTTTTTAGACCACGATAAATTGCAAGTTTAAATTGATTGAAAATCAAATCATGTTTTAATTTCAAATATAAAAATGTTCCATGTGATTTCAATATCCAATCTGTGATTTCATTACATGTTTGAGCGAAAAATCTTCCAGCCATATGATTGAGTAAACATCCACATGAGCATAATGTATCATTTATTCCAATAGTTACAGTTGTTGTTTCTAGAAAATAACCATAATCTTGCTACACTTTAATAAATAACATTTTTTTTTTTTATGTAAAATGATATTATTAAAAATTTTTTTTTTACCTGTACAATTACTTTTTTACCTGTACAATTACTTTTTTACTTGTACAATTACTTTTTTACCTGTACAATTACTTTTTACCTGTACAATTACC